GCACTTTATTAACCCATTCCTGCCCCGCGTGGAATGCCAATACGATCAGTGGATCATGACTTACTCTGAGCTTCCACTAATTACAATTTGCTTCGTTATATTGTCAGAATGTAACTCCCCAACACTCGGCAGTCTGGTGGCCGGTGAGTGACAACCAGCTCAGCGTGAGTATTGAATTAAAGTCGGCCTAGTGACCTCCGCCCGCCAAAGCTTACACGTCTATCATGGAAAGCTGCTTGACGTCACCGAGTCTGAAGGTCTAGGGCGGTGTTTCTCAATGTTACTATAATTTGTACTTGGAGGAATCATCCCCCTTGGGGCCCTTTGATGTAGCTGTCCTGGTGTGACTCCCCTTTTGAGGCTTAGTACTATGCCATGCCCCTCTCCTCCCCCCCTAGTGATAGGCTCCATCACACTGCAAGGGGCTGGTGCCAGGCCACATTCAGCTACTTACACAGCTTGTATTTAAGAATGATTAATGATGCCGAGCTGATATCATTTGAGTCTATCTGTCTGTCTTTTCCTTCTGCAAGCCCCGACCTTAATCCTTAATATAAACTTCACCCCCCAGCCATGCCAAAACTTCACCCCCCAGCCATGCCAAAACTTCACCCCCCAGCCATGCCAATATCTGTGCCGACGCTCTGCGCCCGAGTGCTGGGGTGACTGATCCCCCCCCATATTGTATAACCTTGTGTTTGACTACGATACATGTATGAGGCATTTTGGTCAGACACAAGTTTGTTTCGGGACAACTGAAACTTATAGAAATTTAGTAGAGGGACTGAAAAATTAAAAAGCTATAAAATAAATTGGTAAATTTAAAAAGTAAAACAAAAAAAAAAAATACAAAAAATAAATTGGTACATTTTAATAAAAAGGAAAAATAAATACAAAAATGTTTTAATAAATAAGTTTAAAAAAAAAATACAAAAACATAAATGAAATAAGTAAAAAAAAATTAATTTGGATATATGCTTGGGGAAAGGAAGGTTTAATAGATGCTATAAATATTGTGAAGGTGGGGTCCCTTCCTATTCGTTTTGGCTTGTTTCAAGAATTTCCACATGAATGGGAAGAGTTACCCATGTTTTTTTGGGGAGGGAAGAAAAAATAGCGAACGAGCTCTGTGAAAAAATACCATACATATGTATGAAGGCAGAAAAAAGAAAAACAAAATAAGTCAATAGGATTAAAGAATGAAATTCAACTCGCGGTGGAATACATCCTCATTTAGGAGACCGGTTTTTGGGGATGAAAGGTGATATTCCCACTATTATGATTGCATCGGTCAACGGAAAAAACAGGAAATTCAGGAGATACAGCGGTATCTCGGCTTTGTAAGTTGGTTTAGTAGATCATTGCCTTCACTGAATGCCCCGTATTCGTTCTGTGGGGTTTATTTTTCTTCCAAAGTCGCTGTCGGACAAGAAATTCGTTATGAATCCAAAAGCCCAACGGCTTTGTCCTGAAAAGGTGCGGAGTAACTTTGGTGTCATCCAATTCTTTGGTTAAAAGTCCAGAAAGCTCGAAGAAAAAGTTGCCGTCAAATGTATAGCGATGGCTTGATGATGGCTATGTAGATTTCGGGAGGTAGCTCCATCTCGGCTTTTCTGTTCGTATGGAGTATAAGCCTTCACTGAAAAGCTATGCCGTGCAGGTTTCAGGCAATAGCACCATCTCGGCTTGGTTGTTCGTCCTGAATATAAGTCTTTTGCTGAGATGTAGATCTCCTAATTAAATAAAAAGTTGATCAGCCCCATTGAGGACACTGCCTCCACTATAACAGGAAAAAAATAAATCCTTATAGGAAGGACGTTACAGATTCATTATTTTTTTGGCGGGAGTATCTTTCAAACTTTGGACGGAAAATACACCGACTGAGAATATAGGTGTAGTAATGTATATGCCTCTTACAGGTCAAGCATGCGTCATGAGTTTAGACCGCCTGTGCTGCTGACTTCGCGGCCAGACATGCCTTCAAATGCTTAATGCCCCCAATAACCTTTAACCTGTCTGAATTTCCGAGTCTCGGGCACGTAACGCTGTTGACGGGAGGGGGGGACATTTTTTTTTTTCCTTATGGGTGACCTTCGGGACTGGGTCTAGCAATAAAATAAATTAAAATGTAAGCCTGGCTTGGAGGAGAAGGAGTTATGCGGTCACATGACTCTTTTTACATATAGATTGAAGATTAAGTCAGTTCCCCGCCGATCTCCTGAGTGTTCCTGGTTATAAGCTGTCTGGGAAGACTGTGTGTCCGTGTGACATGACTGCGCCAAGGGCAACGTGAACTTGACCCAGCACAGGAACAAGCCGAGGAACAATTGGTGCTGTGGGATCAAATGAGAAGAGAAGCCACCAGCACTCTGAGGTCATTAATCAATATATCTTAGTGCCGTGTCACTATGGTGATTGCTGTGTTTGGTGCCCAGGACTCTCGGCCAGAGGGGCTGAGAGAGGGTCCAGAAAACGTATATAGTGTTACAGGGAAGGAGCTGGGTTTCCGTTTTTTTTCTGAGATCCGGGTCTCTGGAGATTTCTAAGAGTCTTGGGTGGGATGAGATCTCCGGTCCTGGGGCCGGGTGCAGCCAATTGCCAGGCCAGACTGTCCATGTGGCTGATAACAGCCCTATCAAGGGAGTGGACAGAGAGGAAGGGGCAGTCAGTGGTGCAGGAGTACATGCAGAGGGTGGGAGACTGTGTGTGTATGTGA